CACACACACACACACACACACACACACACACACACACTCTGCCTGCAGTTTACAAGCAAGAATTCCAAATGTTTTAAGTGTGCATGCTTTTGGTAAAGATGCAAAGAGGTGAATCTCAGGTTGCATCCTGATGAACTATTTTTTTTCCATTCTTGACATTAACTCTGGAGAAGCCTCATCTTGAACTTCTGGTTCATATTATTCTTTCTCTAACACTAGTGACATCATAATCATCTCCAGGTCCCCAAAGCAGTCGATTTTAGATGGCAATATAACACATTCCAGATATGACAATAGAATATGTAACAAAATGAAAAACTACCCTAGTGTTAGAGAAAGCACTGACAAGCTAAATAGTTATGACAATAGTCACAAAAATGGCCCTTAGAAAGTTTATTAACAACTTTTTATCTTAATCTTTTATTTAATTATGTCTTTTGGATTTGTTTCCAGACCAGTGAGAACATACATATGCTTAATCCTCAATAAAATTACCATGTTTGAGAAAATATGACACACCTGTTATAGATTAAGTACATGTATAATACGCAGCTATTAAAAGATGTTAAGACCAAAGTCTGAACATTCAAGTTTTAAACAATGAGAACAAGATGTGTGCTGAAAAACTGCCAAGTACCTACAAATTATTTTAAAGATGTGATTATATTTTTGGATAGATTTAGGCAACAGGTTGAAAGGATTTAATTTAGAGAAGAAAAGTAAGAAAATGTCTTAAGTTATATTATAGGTTATACACTTTATGTATTAATTTCCATGTAGTTCCCCAAATAGACATTTACTACATATCTTCAAAATGAACTATTATATTTTTTAAAGTAAGATATAATGATTAGAGCTCTTATTGATATATGTATGCTCACTGCAGAATAAAAATGAAAGCCTGTATGTTGATGGCTTGTGTGGACATACTCCTGAATGTGTGGACTGTAATGCAATGATCTTGCTGGCACCTGAGTCCTAGAGACTGATGTAGTCAGATTCAATACGAAGTCCAAGTTTAATATTAAAACTTAATTATATAATATCACAATGAAGGAGATACACTCCTACTTTCCAAACTGAAGGTAGGAGAAATGAGGTGAGAAAAATTCTAACTTAAGGAAACAAACCAAGTTTTGGTTGGACCATGAAAACACTTCTCCCACAAGGATCACTGACTTTCTGTTTAAATAACCAACCAAGATGAGTCAAGGGGCTCAGGGAATTGCAACAACAATGTTGTCTTCTTTCTATACTGTTCCACCAAAGGTACACAGTTTAGTGTACTGAAACAAAAGATCTCAGCTTTTAAAGAGCTATGTGATGAAAAAGTAACATTTTTCATGCAAAAATATAATTAGGAACTCAGATGTCTTTCTCCTAGGTGTCAATGCCAATGTTTATTAACTAAATGCTGATAGAATAAAATCAGTAACAGTTATATTCTGAAATTGTCCATTTCAACCATGCTGAAGAAGACATAAAAGTTTTGATAGTACTTATTTAAGTTCTTGTTACCAAACTGGGTCTTTTAAAGTTATGAGACAGAGAAGCAACTGAAAACAGAAGTATATAAGAATTCTTGGGAGAAGTAAAATTACTATTAAAAGTTACTGCTGTTTACTTCTGGCAATGAGACTCTAGGAGCAGAAAGGAGAATGTGAACATAAACAGTAACCAAGAGCACTGAGTGCTCTTACAGAAAGGCAAAACATTAATTAAAAGCCAAGAAAAGGAAAATTCAATTATTTATTCTCATCTAGAAGAGTCCAGTTTTGAGCTGAACTGGACCTTTGTTCTGAAATTCTGATCCCCCAGTGTATCAAGTTGGAGTAAACCTTACTATGCTGGGCTTCGTACTGGGATCCATGATGTTGTAACTGCTGAGAACGCCGGTAACAGCCATCCCCAGCCTTCAGGGCCTGCTTAAAGAGTTTTTCTGCTTCAGCAATAGTTGTTGCTTCCTCTTCAGCCAGAAGAATATAAGCAGTTGCACACCTGTTCGTTCAGATAATATTACAAATTACAAATCCAAAGACATTGCAATAGACCATGGAGTTCATGCAGAAGGGAAAGGAGTTACACCAAACATGCAGCGTGGCCAACTGGTTCATGCACCCGTTTGTAGCTGTCGACACAAGTAATGGTGCAAAAGAAACAACTATGTTTCAGCTTGAGAGGTAAGATGTGTAGTGTTAGGAGCATGGGGCTTATATACAGACTCAGCCCCTTTTAGTGTGTCACTTGGGGCAAGTTATTACTCTGCCTCCCTGCTGGAGAATATGGAATATGTTCAGTCATTGAGAAGTTAACTAAGGTGATGCATGTGAAGTGCTCAGTACAGTACTTAGCATCATGGTACATGCTCAGTAAATATCAGCTAAGAATGGTGATGGCAATAGCTGGTTTAAATATCTCCTTCCAACACTCAAAGAGCTATTATACATGTTTACTTCTGCTTACTAAATACAGATTCTTTTCAATGTAAGAATTTTCTCGGAGTGTAAAATTCATTAAAGCAAGTTACTGACTTCAAAAAAAATTAAACAGTTCTTCAAAACTCTCTAAACAGCACCGATTTTCTGCTTCAGAGAACACTAGAAGAACCTACAAAAGTAGTACCATTTCCAAAAAGTTCAAAATCTGACTTAGCCACACTAGCTAGAAAGAGATAAAGTTCATGCCTTTGACAATGAGCTATCATTTGCTGCTGAGTATACAGTAAATACTGTACCAGGCACTTGACATGTATCATCTCACATAATCTTTTCAACATCCCTCTAAGGTAGGAAGCCAGAAAGGATATGTAGTCAACTAAACAACATGGGGAGTTTTAGACATGTAAACCTTTCAAATCATAAAGGGAATAACCCACAGCCAGAGAAAGGGAATGTCTGAGGGGATGGTGAAGCCAGAGAAGACCACACAGGTCCTGATCTGCACTCATTCCCTCTCTCCACTGCCTCTTTGTGGCCATTGCCCTGTTTCTCTCCATCAGACCACAAGAGAGGAATAAATGGAAATTCGAGGTAAATGTTATTTTTATTGTTTGTAAACTGTGAATCCAGCTAGAAAAAGGAATATGAACTTAATCAATAATGGGAGGTTTGGGACCATTAGTTCATCAAAACCTCAAGGAGGAATGTTATAAGTTCTTTAGCCCATTCCTGCAATTTAAGGTAGGAACTATTAGTGGGGTTTTAAACTAAATGTGGTGAGGAAGGGAGAAAATTCCAGGAAAAAAAGCTGGAAAACCAGTACTCTGGAGGGCAGTATATATGACTTGGAAAGAGTGATGAAGATGCTGAAATTTTCTCATGATTCACTGAAGGAAATACCTGGTGTAGGCATCTGAGGAAAATACTTTAGGCTTCAGATGCCCACGTATGAAAATGGGTCAAAGTTAAGAATTGAATATTGAGATTATAATACCAACTGGTAGAGGATTTGGCTATAAGATTTCAATTAGTAGGTTGGAAATTCAAGAATAGTTGGGGCTAGCCAGATTGCTTTATTTGTTTTTATTTCAAATAGTACTCTTAGGAGAGGCAGAGTAGCACCACTGGCCAAGAAACATACATCCATGTGGAAATTCAGGATTTTGGGGTAGAAACATGCTAAGAGCTTGTGAGTGACGGAGAAAGGAGAGAACAATAGAATTGCTAATGGTTGGGGAGTACAGAACAGGTTGTTCAGCTCGATGGAAGATATAGATGATGCATCCTTGTCACAACACAATACACATACAGAAGCAAGAAGTGTGGTGATGGGGTGCCAACCATCCAGATATCTGCTAGAAGCCTTGTTTGGTTAGAAGTAGGGTGCCCGACAGGTTCTTGACTTACTTTGGTAACAATTTTATCTCCCAGATGGTAGAGGAAGCAATTAGGGGAACTTCAACTCTGGACCTAATTCTGACCAAGAAGAAAAAAATAGTTGGTGAAATGAAAACTGATAGGAACATTCAGTGAGAGTCACTATGTCATTCTGGAGTTCAAGGTAATCAAAGAGGAGGAAGAGGAGGAGGATTTCAAAAATTCAAAGGAAAGAGGCATGATTCAATGGCATGAGATGCAGTAGGAAAAAATGGCCCAAGAGGCTGAATAGTTTCTAAATGTTCAATTGTAATCACGATGACAAATGACCTCTCAGGAAGGACAGAGGGTTAGCAAAGTAGCACCCAGCGTGGCTTCACAGAGATCTCTCCCAGGTCAGATTCTTAAAGGCTATGCAAAAAATAAATAAATAAATAAATAAATAAATAAACAAATAAATAAATAAATGAACGCATGTGATGAAGGACTATAAGAAGTGGAATGAATTCAGAAGGACAGTTGTCAGGAGAGCTAAAACTTCAAATTAGTAAAACTTCGCAAATAATAAATAAAAAGATCAAACACAGAACCTGCTAGAGACAACTATCTATTCTGCTTTAAAATTATGTTTAATGTCCCATCACTCCCTCAAATTTCTCTAAAACAACCCCACCCCCACTCACACACATAAATTAGCAAAAAAAGACAACACAGCACCAAAACAAAGAAGGTAATTAAGAGAAAAGAAACTCTCTCACTCCCATTTTGTTCCTGGCTTCTTTATCAAGGAGAATGACTTTCAGACTGAAAAAGACAGAAGAAACTGAACTCTAAAATGGTTAAAAAGACGTAAGACAGCACATCAGTAATACATTTTAAATGAACTACTGTACTGTGGGGGCAAACCCCAGAAAGCCAACTGATCTTGCAGGCAGGACATGAAGTATTCTCTATGTATAGTTAAGAAATCACAAAGAATAGAGACTACAAGATGAGAATGCAAATGTGGTATGAATTTTCAAATGGGAAGGAAGACTGACTTCTCAAACCACAGAACAGTGATTTAGAAAGAAATTCCAATGGATCATTAAAGGAATGACCTTTTGAGTACATTAAACAAAACAAACAAAAACAAAGATGCAAAAACCACTAGGAACCAGCATAAATTGGCTAAGAATAAATAACTCACAATTGCTAGCTTCATTTTCTCTGATAGATTTACTATAACTTAAAGATCTAAGCTACAGCAGACATTCTTAAGATCAAACTGGAAAAACATGAGCTGAACACAGTGTAACTGGGTGCCCTGGTTGAATAACAACAAAGAATGGTGATTCAATGAAGACATGAACCTGCAGGGTAGTTTAGTTTCTCCACATCATGTTCCAGAGTTCTATTCCTGGCTCCAACACTTTCCTCAGAAACATGGATGACACACAAAAGGCAGGCATATCGAGTTTGTAGATGACAAGAAAGTAGAAAGTATGTTGTATGACAAAATCAGAAACCATGTAGATCAATCATTACAGTGGTAGGACTTGAAACTCTGAAGTGACTCTTTTCTTTTTTCCAAGACTTCTGGAGAAGACTCTGCAACCTTCTTGAGAAAATCATAAAATAGTTTAACAATGACCACTTGGCAAGGACATTGTTGAGGACACTGACCAGATGGATGGTTGAGCTAAGTGACCTTTAAGGTCTCTGCCAACCCTAACTTTTTATGATTCTGATGTTAAGAATCTTTCTCATTTTCTAAAATCTCCAGAAGAGATTTCCCAGCCTTCCTTGGTAACCCATAGACATTTAGAACATTAAGGACAGCACTTCCTTTCATTTTTATCTTGACACAAAATATATTAATTTTTTTTCACTGTTTATCTTTTTTGTTGCTATCATTGTTTCTCCCACTAGGAGAAGTTATACCTAGAAAAAGGGATTGTACAGATGAATAATCTGCATCTAGGAAAAAAAATCCTTGTCAAAATGTCTTACATATGCCAGGCATTATAGTTAGTTTATGTTCTCACAATATCCCAAGGATATACCTTGAAGGATTTAATCTAGGGTCACAGTAAAGGCACTGAACTGCTGTCTAAAGTAACTAAACTCCTACACATGGCTGTCCTTCATTAAAAAACTTTATAAAGTGATATCCTCAGAAATAACCCTCTAGTTCAAATGCATAGTTTAATATGTGCCCCATCAATGGTGACTGAATATATTCATCGTAAGATGAGACTTTGTTTTACTAGCAAGACTATTCCCGTACTTACTCATTTATCTCCAAAGCTTCATGAGCTGCAGAAATCCTAGCTTGAGGGTTTCTCTCTCTCCAGGCTTTTTGCATTACTATTTAGAAAAAAGAACAAAGCAAGTCAACTAGTACATGTAATTGGGACGACTTGACATAGGACAATAAATTAATAGCTGTCAGCTTGAATAATAAGAGAACAGTTTATTGCCAAGAAAGCCCAGCTCTCAAGTCACACAAATATTCTAATTTGCTATTTCATTGTTCTTCGGTTGCTAATGGCAAACTTTATTGTGTGACATGAAACTACAGGTATAAATTTTGTAGACTAAAAAAGTCAAGAAAATGAGCTATAATAGGAAATTCATTTCTTCTGCACGTTAATAGAATTTGTTAGAATATATATTATTTTAAACATTTTGAAATAACATTGTTATTCTATGGCCAGACCACCCTTAATATGACTGCTCCTGAGGTGACTCTGTCAGTAATTTATTCATTCTATAACATACTTCTCTTGGTCATGATATAATTCCCATTTGTTATTTTCCCAAGCATTTGCTGTGGGCTCTGGATATCAGAACATTTTGAAACCATTTGGAGAATGTTAGTTGAGTTAGTAAAAGGTGTTACAAGATTTTGTTTAACATGTATACTTGTGACTCAAATTCGCCTGCAAATCTAGTTTTTATATATCACAGCAGTTTGTGAAGATACTAGGAGAATCTCAATCTTGAAAATATGAATCATATCATGATGCTCCCTGATGGCAAAGAGGACTTTGGAAAGAAGAATAGCAATCTCCTTATGTAATTTGTTAGTTAAATTTATATTTTATAAGTCAGTCTTTTAAGAACATGTAGAAATTTTTTTTGTTGAATATATTTTCATGTACTTGCTTTTTACCCATTAAATCACACAAAATTTACCAGTAGTATTATGTGGAAAGTAGTCAGTATGAAGTGTTATATTAGTATGCTAAATAAAGTCTTTTCTGAAATAGAAAAAACACACGGACTCCTATAGTCAAGGCTATGTTCCCTTTCAATGTTAGTAAACCTATAAATAAGCATGTAAGGGGGCTGAAGAAATGGGTCAGCAGTTAAGAGTACTGGCTGCTCTTACAGAGGACCCAGGTTCAATTTCCAGCACCCATATGGTAGCTAAAAACCATCTGTAACTCCAGTTCCAAGGATCCAATGCCCTCTTCTGATCTCCACAGGAATTGCATGACACAGGTGCACTTACATACATACAGGTAATACACTCATATACACAAACTGAAATAAAAATAGTAAAATATTTTAGATAGGCATGTAAGTTACTAAAATATATTTATCATTTACATTTAGTGAATCCCAATTTCTAATTTTTGTTACTTTTTCATCCTTTTCAGTTCTTAAAAGTTTTTTTTTTTTTTTTTTTTTTTTTTTTTTTTTTTTTTTACTCCTTTTTTTTTTTAAAAATTTTTTTTTTTTTTTTTTTTTTTACTCCTTTTTTTTTTTAAAAATTTTTTTTTTTTTTTTTTTTTTTACTCCTTTTTTTTTTTAAAAATTTTTTTTTTTTTTTTTTTTTTTTTGGTCTTTTTGAGACAGGGTCTCCCTGTAGCACCAGCTGTCTTGGAACTCACTATGTAGAACAGGCTGGCCTTGAAATCACAAAGATCTGCCTGCCTCTGCTTCCTGAGTGCTGGGATTAAAGGTGTGAGCTACCACTCCCAGCTACAAGTATTTTTATTGTTAAAGAATCTCATAAAATTTATTTTGATCATATCCAACACCCTCCCCATCTCCTCTCTGATACACCTCCATGTTGCTACCTCCCCATTTTTATATAAATATCCCTAAGAATTGTGGGCTTTACTAACCAATCAACAATTTAATATTTTACTCATTGGTGTGTGTCGTGTGTGTGTTTGTATGTACAGATACGCATACATGTGTATGGAGATCAAAGAACAATCTCAGGCACTCAGGCATCATTCCTCAGGGGTCATCCACCTTTCTTGTTCTCTTTATTTAAAGACAAGTTCTCTCATCTGGCCTGAGATTTACCAAGTAAGTTAAACCCTAGGGATCCACCTATTTCTACCTCCCCAGAGCTGGGATTTCAGGCATCTACCACCACGTCTGGCTTTTGTTTCTTTATACGCCAGTTCCAGAGACTAAAGTCAGGTCCTTATGTTTTCAAGGTACTAACTTCACCCATTGAGCTATCTCCCAAGTCTTCAGTGGGCTTTTTACAGAGCACATGTTTGGGTTTTGTTGTTTTGCTTTGACTTTGTTTTTGAGACATGGTCTCACTATATAGCCCAGGCTAGCCTGGAACTCACTATGTAGTCCAAGCTGGTTTGACATTAGAGATCCCCCTGCCTCTGCCTCCTGAGTGTTTAAGATTACAGGCTTGTACCATCACACCTGGCTATATATCAGATGTTGTGAAAGTAGAACTTTGATACCTAAAACAAGCTGAAAAGTTCTCCCACCCTGTAATATCTGAAGGATTTTCCATACTTGCATCTGCAGGTCGAAGATGGTCTGAATCACAAGTGAAGAATGTCTGGTGATCCTGGGCAGAGAGATTCATGTCATAGTAAGTCAGAGGCTCTCGTCCTGTTACCCAAGTATACCTGTCAACGGGAAATATGATAGAGAGTTCTGTGAAAGGAAAGCAAGACCTTCAGAAGAGTAAAGCTACAGAACTGCTGGAATGGAACCACTACTGAGTATTAAAAGAGCTTTGCTAATGAAGAACAAAACTTACTTCTTAAAATTATTCCTTCAGGACTTATACAGCAGGAAAAAAATAAACATTTTCTCTTCTGTTTTTTTGCTTTAGCATTGTACTAGTCCTTGCTAATGAAAACCTTTTCTAATATTACAAACAGACATTTCCCAAAAGCTCTCAAATTTCTAATTTGCCTAATTATGTCATTCAATTAAGTTGCAATATAACTTCTCTGAGATCTTTATAATCATGTTCCAGGTAAGTTTTAGTTGTGCAATATACTCTGAAAAGAATAACTGCAATGAATAGCCAGAGAGATGTTACACACACACACACACACACACACACACACACACACACTCACACACTCACACTCAAATAATTTTAAAATTATAAAGAATAAATGCAATAGAAAAATGTATTACACACACTTTTGTACATTTATTTAAATCTAATGCTAAAATATTTACATAACAGAAAAATTAAAACATATGTGAATAGTATCAAAAAGTGGCAGTACTTGGGCACAGGCTACAATCCCAGCACTCACTTAGGAGATGGAGGCTTAAGGATCAGGAGCTCAAGGTAACCCTTAGCCACACAGCAAGTTCTGGACTATGAGACTCCATCTCAAAAACAAAAACAAAACAAAAACAAAAAAAGAAAGAGAAGAGGAGGGGATGGGAGGGGAGGGGAGGGAGAGGGAAGGGAAGGGAGGGGCAGAGGGGAGGGAAGGGGAGGGAAAGGCGGGGCATACTACTACATGACCCCTAAAATGAACAGCAAAAACACTTGCTGTTTTTGCTCTCTGAACCAGACTCATTTGTTTCCTCCACTGACAAAAGACTTACCGATTATATTCAGCACCTCTAAATAAATTTAGTGGATTTCGCCATACTTTGCACTCTGTAAAAAGAGAAATATGAAAATGTTACACATAAGTTCAGTGATATTATAAGCTAATTAATTCAGTAAGACACCCTTCCTGGCTCTTTGGTAAGATAATTTTATTCCCTATCATTTATATGGGAAACTGTAGAGCACTTAGGGTTAATCAGGCTCTAGGATGTGGAAAGTTTCACCTAATCTTTCTGGCCCTAAGTTTCCTCATTTACCAAATTAAGGTATATGCCAGAGTCAGCTACTTCATAACTTTCTATGGTTATTTCAAGAGATTTGAGCAGATTTATGATTTACTTCTAAAATTACAGGTAAAAGGTACATGTGTAAGCAAAATTACTGTCAATCCAAAATATAAGTCTCAGGAACAATGTCCATGACAAACCAAAGCTCTACAGTACGGCATAGAGAGCTGAAGACTCTTAATTAAGGACTATGCTAGTTCTCATTTTGTGATAATTCACTCTATTTATATTAACTTCTTTAAAAGGAATAAGAAAATTAGTAAAATTGCCAGGAATTAATAAAATCACCAAAAATGAGAGAAAGAAATTCTATGAAAATAAATTGTTTCAGAGCATTTTCACATCATCTGCTTATGCTGACACATGTATGAGGCTCTCACACTAATGTCATGTTAACTACTAACATTATAACTTCTTGTTATACAAAAGGGGCATAGAAACTTAGAATCACAGGACTTTAACTTAGGTCCATCAATAGTTTTAAGATAGTAAGCATGTGACTAACAAGCTACAATTGTTTTCAAATACCCTATGATTAAGACTTTCTACTGATTTATAATACTAGATCGCTTTGGATAAACATGTTTTTATTAGAAAATAAAACTCACTTAGCTAAAGCTAAAACATCAATGTGTGTGGATGTAATAAAAAAAAACACCCAATGATATATACACTCAAAAATATTGCAGAAATACAAAGAATATTAAAGGCCATGCGATGATTCATCATAATTCTACCACAGGCCTGCATATCTATCTATCCATTCACCTATTATCCACCCATCCAACAGGCATTACTTTGAACATTCAGTGGAGAAAAGCTGCAACCATCATTATAATATACTGTAAAAAAGAACATAAAGCAATATGGCAATACTCTGTATGACCATAGTACACAGCTGCTAAAACAGTAAATCAAGTATACACATAAAACTGTGATATATGCTTTCATTTAAAGAAGATAAATTTATCTTTAAATAAGATTAGTATTCCATTTTAAATTTATTCAGTGTTTATACATAATGGCCCTAAATGTCATTTAGCTTAATTTGTCATTTAATTTTGTTCTTGAGAAACTGCAATTTGATCATTGCCACTTCTTGGCACACTAACTAGAAATTTATGTTTCCTTTCGATAATTACTTTTTCTCCAAACATAAACTCATTAGAAGGGTCATGAACACAAAGACTCCAGATCATGACTTGAAACACACTAGTCAGCCAAACAATGATTACTATCCTAGGGCTGTTCTATTCCCGAGACCTCATTGCTGCCAACTCTTCCTCAGAGAAATGCTTAAGATTCAAAGTGCTCTTCTTAAAGCTTCAGAGATCCTGCAAGGTTTGTAGTTAGCATAAAAACTTGTGCATGATATCTGTACAAAGATGTCCATGTTAGAATTATTATAATAAAACAAGGATATCTGAGGAGGTGTTTATTCTACTATTTAATTTCATCTTAGATATTAATAAAAAAGCCTATGTCAAATATTTTATCTCTAATAAGTAAAGGACATTATTATACTGCTTGGGGAAATGAAGATTGTCCAAAAATCAAAATTGACAAATAAGAAAGAAAATTATCTTCAGTTAAATCATTTGAAATTATATCATTTGAAATTTAAAGTATTTCTAAGCAAAAATAACTCCACAGGAAAAAAAGTGTGTATGCTTCAAATATTCACCAAGCAGTATCTAAAGGAGCCTTTTATTTAGGAATTTCCATAGCACAGCCAGTAGGGGGTGCAGCAAACATTCTAAATTGTTAACTTTTATCACGTAGAGAATTAAATCCTTCTTAATATCAAGTCATATATGTGTTCTATATGCACTTTTTAAATTACACCTGAAACTTAGAAATTAATATCTAAGGAATTGGAACGGATATAAACTGTTCTAAATGAAAAAAAATATGGGATGAAGAAGTACAACAAATATCTTCTTAAGTCATACATTTGAAACTGAAGGCACAGGGTAGGATATTTTTCTTTAATAAAGCAGCAATATAAAGGTCTTATATGAGCATATATCAAAGTTTTCCTTAAGTGACATCACAGGTACATGAATTTTATCTTTGTCATTCTGTTCCATAATCCTGACTACAGAAAATTCTTTAAGCATGGGATCGCTCTAGGAAAAATATCCCACAAATAGCTTCATGTGATATGGACAAAGGGTGTAAATGCCAAACCTATTAGAGTATGAAGGGTTTCAGAGAAACACTCAGTCCTCCATAGTGTAAGAGTTCTTTTACATAAGTCCTTTCTTACATGTATGTTTGAGAAATTAATTTATTTCAGATAAGATTGCAAATTTTACCTCCAAAAGGAATTTTCCATTCTCCATTATCTTCCACACCCTCAGTGCCATTAGGAAACACTAAAAGTTGACTAGGACTCCATCAAAGGCTCTTAATATGATTAAGAGTCTACCTATATGTCCTTAACACAACAAATATGTTCTCTGTATTGCAACAGTACACAGTACAATCTCTATTCACAACTCTTGTGGAAATGTTCGGAACTCAGCATTCATGGAAGAATACAACTCAAGAAAGAAATCGGTCACCATTAAAATTAAAACAGCACTTGTTATCCCCTAAAGTCTACAGAATAGATCTTCTTTGTCAAAATGGGAAATTTACGTTTCTAGGTGGGAAACAAAGAAGATAAAAATTGATGCTTACTACCATCAAGGATTTCTAAAGCAAACTCCAAACCTTTCTGCAGTTTCCTTCTCACAATTTCCCACTAATATTTCCCATCACTATCACCATTATTTTGTGCCTTTCAACTCAGTTACTCAAGAATATGCACTCCAGGGGCTGGAGAAGTGGCTCAGTGGTTAAGAGCACTGGCTGCTCTCGAAGCTCCCACATGGTAGCTAACAACCATTAATAATAACTCCAGTTCCAGGGGGTCTAACAACATCCTGTGGTCTCCACAGGAACTGCACATATGTGGTACACTTAACATATATGCAAGCAAAACACTCATACACATAAAATAATTTTTTAAAAAGGAGCATCCACTCCATCAGTCACAAGTCTGTGTGATTTAAACATATATTAAGTGATTTCTATACATTAACCCATGTATTAGGCCCTGACTAACAAAAACAGATGTACAGTATGACTTAAAGCAATCTCGGGGTTGGAGATGGTTCAGCAGTTAAAAGCACTGGCTGCTCTTGCAGAGGGTCAGAATTTGATTCCTAGCACCCATATGGCAGCTAACAACTACCTATAACTCCAGTTCCAGGGGACCCAATGCCCTCTTCTTACCCCCATAGGCATTGCAGGACAAAGGTGCACTTACATACATGCAGGCAATACACTCATATACAAAAAAAAATAAAAGTAATAAAATTTTTAAAATATCAATCTAAAGCAGAATCACAGGCTGTCACAGCCCTCAAGGAAAAGGAAAGTCCAAGTCTCAGAGGAACTGAAGGACTCTAAAATCACAGAATTTTGAATTACATAGAAATAATAGTCTACATCCAATTTATTTAACTCTGAAATAATTTTCTTTCTGAAATCAAAATTTAAAAAGAATTCAATTCCTGAGACTTTCAAAATACATAAATTTTTAATGCTTAGCTTAGAAATACTTCTTACATAAAAAAGTGAGAATGTTCCCCAAAACTCTTAAATCCATTAACAGTACATACACTGTTTTCTTTGGTTTGAGACAGGGTTTCCATATATAGGGCATACTGACCAGGATTCTCATCTGGCTATGTAGATCTTAATATGGCAACACCATATTTCAACATACTGTGACTTTAGCAACTAAAGTTTCCACTGGAGTAACAGTTTTCAAAATTCCTCTGGGGAAATGTTAGGCACTTTAAAACAATACCTTTAAGTACATTAGTATAAAGTATAACTGTGAAGGACCCTACTAAAAGTTTCACTGGATATATTATAATCAGATTAACCCCAAGTGAATCAATCTTTGATGTGATTTTGCCTACATTTATTAGCTTTGGTACTTCAGAAATGAATACCCAATCTTCTACACTATATTGATCAATTTTAGGCAATCATTAAAAGCACTTAAAAAAATAATTACGCCGTAGCTATTTCATAGCGTCTCAAAATAAGTATTTCTTTTTTAAAAAATCATTTAATAACCACATGATTAAAAGAAGCATTTCATTACAGCATTAACATGTTCAATAACAATTTGCAGAGCAAAGATGCATCTCTTTCAAAATTGGCTGTAAATTTTTAGGTTCACAGTTGAATTAATACGGTTACACAATATGGAACTCAGTATAACCGCTATAAGACAAAAAGTTGAATGAGGTTTTAACCCTTAAAAAAGATGCCCATTTCACTTTAAAATATACTGTTTCATACAGAAAAACTCATTTTTAATGCTACTAACACTTAGATGTTTGCACATGCATCTCTAATCTCAATGTATCTGATTATTGCTAGTCACCATTGGTTACTTTCTGAGATCCACCTGAGCACGGATATAAAATTGGGTAGATTTCAATGATAATGTTTCACCTCTACTAATTAACACGGAGCAAATTTTTATGCCTCTTCCTCTCTCAAGCCCACGTGACCCCTGAGGAACAGATCCTCAAATGACCTTAAGAATAAAAATAAATTGATTTATCTGGGCCAACTGTATGGTCTTAAACACCCAAAAGGAAAGTATAAGCAAAGATTAAAAGGATCAATATAATTCTTTAAGAGTCCATGTGTATAGGTAAAAGCTACATAACAAGAAACAATGTCAGACAG